AAAGATCTATATAGAGGGATCAGGACCTCCTTCCTCCGGCCTGCAGCAGACTGATGACATCATCTCAGCCTAGGCAAAGTCACTGACTGGGGATCAATGATAAAAGGCGGAGGTTTTCTGAATGATGACGCCGTAGTTGTATATTGCGACATATCAGGAATGCATCCATGCAGACTTGTACAGGCACTGACAGGTCCACTTTAAATATGCCCGGTTGGTGTTCATACATGTGATTTGCACAGAGCGGATGAACGTTCCGCGTGAGACTGAGCGATCATTAAAAGTAAATTGTCTGAAATCTGAGTCTCCGCTCTTCTTCCAGAATTACATTTTCTAAGCACGACCAGCAACAAATGGATACAATTTAGGAGGAAGACGAATATGTATCGGAGGATTTCCTGCCGGCGGAAAGGCAGCGAAGCAAATTTAAAATGTTAATTGCGGCTCGGTAATATTCCGCGACCGCTAACGAGAATGATTTTGCTGATGGATTTGCGCTCAGAATTCAGACGTGGAAAGAATCCTTCTATTGTTCCTATATTGTCGTCTTCTTCAAAGACCAGCAGCAAATGTATATTTGTAATTATGTCGGCCTACGTCAGCCCCATTAAAGGATCAGACACGCCTGGGATTTCACGAGCCTGTCCCTCGCTCGTCTAGGATTGCAGAAGAACCGTTTACAGAGCACAATGATGCAATACTAGCGAGGAAGTTGCAATAGAAAAGACTCTTTAGCGCTCACAGAAGGCGCCTGGAGGAGAATGGCGGGATAGATGGATGGAGGATAGATGGGAATGGGCTGCCCCCTGCTGGGAGATTTCAGGAACTGCAGCCAGGTGATGATATTCTGCAGTGGTTGTCAATCTTTGATAGGGGGCCTCAAATGTGGCCCCGGACATCACCAAAGGGCCACACATAATATTCAGAATGTGCAATGCTAGAAGAGACTTCAGATATAATAGAGGACATGATGGTCAGGGACTGGGGACATGCTGCAGATAATATAGTGGACATGACAGTCAGGGACTGGGGACATGCTGCAGATAATATAGTGGACATGACAGTCAGGGACTGGGGATATGTTGCAGATATAATAGAGGACATGATGGTCAGGGACTCGGGACATGTTGCAGATATGATAGAGGACATGATGGTCAGGGACTGGGGAAATGCTGCAGATATCACAGAGGACATGATGGTCAGGGACTCGGGACATGTTGCAGATATGATAGAGGACATGATGGTCAGGGACTCGGGACATGTTGCAGATATGATAGAGGACATGATGGTCAGGGACTCGGGACATGTTGCAGATATGATAGAGGACATGATGGTCAGGGACTCGGGACATGTTGCAGATATGATAGAGGACATGATGGTCAGGGACTCGGGACATGTTGCAGATATGATAGAGGACATAACAGTCAGGGACTGGGGACATGTTGCAGATATAATAGAGGACATGATGGTAAGGGAGTCGGGACTGGGGACATGTTGCAGATATGATAGAGGACATGACAGTCAGGGACTGGGGACATGTTACAGATATAATAGAGGACATGATGGTCAGGGAGTCGGGACTGGGGACATGCTGCTGATATAATAGAGGACATGATGGTCAGGGACTGGGGACATGTTGCTGATATGATAGAGGACATGATGGTCAGGGACTGGGGACATGTTGCTGATATGATAGAGGACATGATGGTCAGGGACTGGGGACATGTTGCTGATATGATAGAGGACATGATGGTCAGAGACTGGGGACATGTTGCTGATATGATAGAGGACATGATGGTCAGGGACTGGGGACAAGCTGCTGGGTCACCTCCCAGCTCTCTCCGGGTCACCTCCCAGCTCTCTGGGCCACCTCCCAGGTCTCTGGGTCACCTCCCGCCTCTCTCTGGGTCACCTCCCGGCAATACTGAGCAGTTTGGGAAGATCTACTGATGCTGCAGAAATGATTTCACTGCTGGCTGAGTCCTTTGTACCGCTAAGCCAACAAGCCACCCTGCGAGTCCCCCTTCCTGATGAACGCGGAATGAACACTTCAGGCGTAAACTCTGCAGGAGTAGACAGAATCCTAACCCCCGAGGGAGAGACACTTCACCTACCCCCACCTGGGTCACCAGGGCCAAAGAGGGTGAACTGCCACTGGGGCAACTGGGCTGTAAGACTGGAGGGGGCTGGATGGAGGTGTCTGTGTTCTATAGGATGGCATGTATATAGAGATAAGATGGGGATGGCACACACATATACAATACAATACACTACATAAGTATATTGATCCTTCTCCCAATGATGGAGTACCTCATCCCTACTGAACACCTTTGGGATGAATTGGAACCCCTCCAGATGATGGGGTTCAGGTGTCCCCAGTGAAGGTTCTGCTAATCCTCCATCATACGAAGACACTGTAGACAATTGTCCTCTTCCAGCCTTGTGGTCACAGTTTGGTGAAGACCCTTTTCTCCCCATGACTGTCCCCTGTGTACAAAGCCAGCTCCATACAGACATGGTGTGACCAGTTTGGTGGAGGAAGTCGAGTGTCCTGCACAGAGCCCCGACCTCAACCCTACTCAACACCTTTGGGATGAATTGGAATGCTGATTGAGAGCCAGATCTTCTCATCCAACATCAGAACCTGACCTCACACATGGGACAAATTCCAACAGACACCCTCCAAAATCTTGAGAAAGCCTTCCCAGAAGAGTGGAGGATGGTATCAATGGTATCGTCATGGGGTAGGGGGGTAGAAGCTCCACAAGAGGAGGGGACTCCATATTGATGGAAGGGGTAAGGTGTAGGGCAGCAACTTCAAATGAATGGCCATGGGGGGAGGGGGATTCCATATTAATGGCCATGTGGGAATGCTAGTAACTGGAAATGGTGAAGGGGGAGGGACAACTCCATATTTATAGCCATGGGGGGGGGGGGGGGGGAAACCACGCACACCCCACCATAGATTTGGCCAGTACCACTGGTAGAGAAAATTGTTTTAATGATACATGTGCAAGGGATTTTGCTCCAAATAAAAATCAGCACCAAATTTATAAAATTTCGAGGTTTGGATGTATCCAAATTCAAAATTTTATAAATAACAAATCCAAACGAATCCCAAGTACAGATTCTGCAATTCATAAGCGGTATTCAGTAAGAAATGTTGGTGAAATGTTGAGAGGAGGTGGGGAATCCCTACAGGCAGCCATGAGTGACAG